AGGCCACAAGGCCAGTTCACATGCAAGATCATATATAAAGGTAAACAAGCAAGTGCAGGTATAGAAAGATCACAGTACAAGCAAGGTCAAGAAGTAAGCAAGTGAGGCCAAGTAGGCACAAGACCTAGCATCGTACAACAGCGCTGATGATCACAAGGCGGAAGTGCCTTGGTAAAGATATTAGTAGTGTTGGCCTGAGAGGCCACGTAAGCAAGGCGCAGCTAACCACGCTGCTGCAGCTCACGAGCAAGAAAGTAGCGAAGAGCAATGTGCTTCGTTCTGTGCTCCAGTCTCTGCTCTCGACACAAGGCCAGCATGGCCTTGTTGTCTACGTACAGAACCGGAGGAGAACGAGGCCGCTCTCCTAGGTCGGTCAGCAGGTAGGTGAGCCAGCGTAGCTCCTGTGCAGCCATGGCCCCCGCGTAGATCTCAGCCTCACAACTGGAGCCGAGAACAGAAGACGAGCGGGTAGACCGCCACGAAACAGAGCCGAAACCAAGGCTGAAAGTGTAACCCTGTGACGACCGCTGCGTAGCCAGGTCGTCAGCCGAAGAAGCGTCTGCGTGACCTGTGAGGACCACTGAACGTCGCCCTCCATGCACTAGCCCCATGCCCGACGTACTGCACAAGTAGCGCAACACCCTCTTTGCTGCAGCCATGTGCTCTGGTCAGTGTCTCCAAGGAGCAACATAGCGTGCCAAGATGCTAAGAGGGTATGCAAGGTCAGGTCGAGTGCAGGTCATCAGGTACATGAGGCAGCCAACAAGCTCTGGGTACGGGCCACTCGGCTCTACGGACTCATCCGAAGGCAGAGCTGAGAGCGAGTGGCGAGTAGACAGAGGAGTGGCCTGAGGCGAGGAGTACGTGAAGTCGAAGCGCTGAAGGACCTACTGCACCATGTGTGACTGAGTCAGGGTAATGGTGTGCTGTGCTCTGTCCTGGGTGATCTGCAAGCCAAGGTAGCTGCGCAGTTCACCCAGGTCTGTGCACGTGTGTCTCTTCTGCAGCTCGGACTTCACGTGGGCGAGTCCAGCAGTGTCAGCAGTGGCAAAGACCAAGTCGTCGACGTACACAAGGATGTAGAACGGCGGCAAAGAGGTGTCGGTGCGCAGAAACAGCGACGGGTCGGCAGTAGAAGGAGCAAACCCAAGAGCCGCAAGTGTAGTCCTCAGTGTGTCGTGCCACTCACGGGGCGCCTGGCGCAGACCGTAGACTGGCCGCCGGAGGCTCCACTGGGTACCAGGAGGAAACGACCCTGTGAAGCCAGGTGGGCGGCACAGCCAGATCTCCTCGTGCATGCTGCCATGCAAGAAAGCTGTGCTGAAGTCAAGAGAGTGAAGCTTGTAGTCGCGCTGAGCGGCTATGTCCAGCAGCACCCGAAGAGTGGTCATCTTCGGGGTGGGGGAGAAGGTCTGAAAGTAGTCAACTCCCTGCCGGTGACTGAAGCCTCGAGCCACGTAACGTGCCTTGAAGACAGGCGGAGAATCCGGCGGCCGCTTCACCTTGAAAATCCACATGCCACTGACGATGTTCGCCCCAGGTGGGGGAACCTCGTCGACGTAGGTGCCTGTGGACTTCTAGGAAGCCATCTCTGCGTCCATGGCTGACTGCCACTGTGAGGAGTAGGGACCCTCGATCGCCTTAGCGTACGATCGAGCAGTCGGGATGTCTGGTGCATCAGGGTCTCCCTCAGGGGCAATCAGCAAGGACACGAGATGAGGCAAAGCAGCATCAAAACATTGGAACTCCTCCTGCCTGTCCTCAAGGACGTCCGTGCTAAGAGCACACTCACCCCCGACGGACGGAGGACAGACAGACGCAGACTCAGCAACAAGACTAGAGGCGTAGTCTAGACGACAGTGAGCAGCGAAGTCGACAAGCTCAGCAACTAAGGCAGACGCAGCAGTGGACTCAAAGGAAGGGTCAGTGACGACAATAGCAAGGAGACGCGTGACAGTAGGACTGGCAGCACGAAGGGAGTCCGACTCCGGGTCAGCAAGTGCAGGAAGAGAGGACTCGGGAGAAGGCAAAGGGGCACGCAGCGGAGCTGTTGAAGGACGCAGAGACATCTGGTGCGTGCCGGGGACAGGCGGAGGACGCTGACGCGAACCACGACCACTTGTGCGAGCAGCACGGACAGGCGACGCAGGACGAGACACAGGCTCACGAAGCTCCGTAAGACCTCCAATAGGACCAGTATAGGGAGAGGGAGCAGGCAGTGGGGAGGCTGGCTGTAACTGTGACTCGGACTGGACAGGCGGCGGACACACTAAGAGAGGAGCAGGACAAAGAGAGGACGGAAGACCAAGAACCTGCTCAAGGAGCGGAACGAAGTACGGCCACGGCCGTGCAGTGCCCCCACAACCAGCAGGAACAGCACCAGTACCCCCATCGGCAGCACCAGCGCCAATAGCACCCCCAGCTCCAGTAACGCCAACTCCAGCACCCTTAGAAGTACTAGCGCTAGCAGCACCTCCTGTCAGTAGAGCTACACTGTGAGATCCCCGATCGATCCTAGGGGGGGTTACAGGCGCGTTTGCCTGGGGGGTTATGGCGCACTGACCCGCAACTGAAACAAGCCCCTTTATCCCAATGGTCTAGTGGTTGGGATTCTGACACCTCCAGTTCCTCTCGGACCACCAGAAGACGGAGCAGCTCCAGCTCCAGCACCTCCAACAGCACCTACTCCAGCAGCACCACCAAATCCAGCACCAGGAGCACCCGCAGGCCCAGCAGCTCCAGTACCCCCGGTACGAGCACCTCCGGGACTTGTGGCAACAGCACCCTCAGCAGCAGTAGAACCGTCAACACCAGCAGTACCTCCAGCTCTAGCAGCACGGATCCAGCGCCGAGCAAACCACCCGCGCAGCTCCTGTGGAGAGAGCAGCTCCCTCGTGGACGAAGCACCCGAAGGACCTCCAGGCCCAGCACATTCGTTTTCACCTACCCGACCGTTAGTTTCTGCCCTGCCCAGCGTTTCGCACTGCCCTGCCCCTTTCTGCCGTACGCAGCCCGTACAATCCGCGTAGGCTTGAGCACAGCCCGTACAGCCCACGTCAGGCCGTCGCGTAGCCCATACAGTCCGCGAAGGCCCGTCACGAAGCCCGTACAGCCCGCGTAGGCCCGTCGCGAAGCCCGTACAGCCTGCGCCAGGCCATCGCGCAGCCCGTACAGCCCATGTCAGGCCCGCACGCAGCCCGTACAGCCCGCGCCAGGCCCGCGCGCAGCCCTTACAGCTCGCGCCAGGCCTGCACGCAGCTCGTACAGCCCGCGCCAGGCCCGCACGCAGCCCTTACAGCCCATGCATGGCCCGCACGCGGCCCGTGTTACTGCTGCAATCGCTGCTGCTGCTACGCTGCTGCACCTGAACTGCTGCTGCAGTACTTCTGCCGCCTGCACTGCCCTGCTACTAGTGCTGCTACTTGCTGCAGCTGCTCCTCCTTGCTGCTGCTACTGCTGCTTGCTGCAGCTGCTCCTCCTTGCTGCTGCTGCTGCTGCTGCTGCTACTTGCTGCAGCTGCTCCTCCTTGCTGCTGCTGCTGCTACTTGTTGCAGTTGCTCCTCCTTGCTGCTGCTGTTCCTCCTTGCTGTTGGTGCTGCTGCTGCTTGCCGCTGCTGCTCTGCCACCTGTCCGAGCCGCGCCGCCCAACCCAAGCTGTCACTGCTGCTACTGCTGCAACTACTGCTGCTACTGCTGCAACTACTGCTGCTACTGCTGCAACTACTGCTGCTACTGCTGCAATTACTGCTGCTACAGCTAGTGCTACTACTACTGCTGCTAATACTGCACTTGCTATAGCTGCTACTGCTGCCACTGCTACTGCTGCTATGGCTAACCTGTCAGTTCTTACGTTCGACGCTGAGGGCCGCACGATTACCTTTGATGTCTGGCTCGACGATCTCCAGCTGTTCCTGCAGAGCGAGTCTAAGGATGACGTTTCCCTGTTTTTACACACTGAGGGAAAGCTCCAAGCCCCTGCTGCCGACGCTGTAGAGGATCTGTCTAAGTGGCTCATGCGTAATGCAGCCGCCCGCTTTGCTGTCCGCAACCACCTGCCCATCACCTCCTCCCATGCTTTCTGCTGCTTGGGCTGTGTGACTGGCCTCCTGAGCAAGTGTCGCAGTTTTTTCTGTACCGTAGGTTTCCCTTCATCGCACACAAAGGACGCCCACAGCCGAGCCACCAGGTCCCCCGCCTGCCCCAATACACACCCTCTCCGAACCACCATCGGCGTTAGAAGCCCCAGCGATGCCGGCTATTGGACCTCCTCCCCCGACTGCCGAGTAGTCCCCTCACTATCAACATTTACCTTCTCACACCTCAGCTCCTCGTTATTCCTTAGCGCCATCTGCAGATAGTTATGCTTCCCCGCAACCGCCTGCCCCACCCTGACCAGAGTAGTGGCCTTCGAGATATCCGCCGCCGTCACCTTCGTTAATAGCTTCGCTTTCCAGCCTTTCAGCACCGCCTCCCAAGCCAGGAGCGCCCACCTTGCAGTAGACGATCACCCCGTCTACTTAGTCAGCATCCACGTATCTTTCACTTTCCAGCTTCCGCCATACTCTTGCTGAATCATATCCTCCAACGTCATCCCTCTTAGGCATTCTGACCCTTTTTGCCTGTCGAAAGGGCTGCTTCCTCGGTAGTAACTACTGAACCACTTGTGTTCTTTCTCCATCTCCCACCTGTTTGCCGGCTCTGGCAGCTGCTTATCCCACATGAACGGCACCAGTGACCTCCAACGTGCGCTCCCATACGTCCACTTTGCAAGAATCTGTCAAAACATTATATGCTTTCTATCTTTCTAGGCTATGTAGGGGTTATCCTTAGAGGGCACGCCACGTTTCTCAACACTCTTGTACCCCCCCCCCCCCCTTACCTAATCGACACTTCTTCTCTCTACTCTAATCACATATGGCTACTAGTTTAGGCTAGATTCTAACAGAATCGCCTTGTGCGTCTGCAACGTTGCCCACCCCAAGGGCATGTTCGCTGCTTCCTCAAGCAGCCACTGCTTCATCGGGTTCCCTTCCAGCAACCGAGCCCAGGTTCCATAGCGTCTGGTTGTTAAATCTCTCTGTCGGGTAAATAACTCCTAGCCCCCCGTCTTTACTTCCCAGGTGGGCCAGTTCCTTGCTCCAGAGAATGAAATGCCTCTCCATGTCTGCATACCCCTTCGACGTGAATTGTGAAACAGCTTCAGAATCTTCTGCCAGATCTGCTTTGGCGGCAGGTACACCTGCGCTTGGAACAGCACCACTAGCTACTTCTGTATGTATTGGAGTATCTACGGATTCTAATGCCGTCGAAAGGCGAATCTTGCCTTACCGAGTTATACAATCTCCTTAGGCTGGGCGGCAGGAAAAGGTTGGCTGCCTGGGACCACTTTGGCTGGTTATGTTCGTGAGAGCCTAGCCGAGCCTTGGTTTGGGCGTCCTTGTTGCAGTAGAACAGATCACCAGGGACGTTCATCAGTTGGTTCGGTTTCAATTTGGTCATGTGACTCGCAGGAGTGAACTGGTCAACCCCCCCATTCTGTAGGTCAGCACCACTCACCAAGTTCGTAGAGAACGAGGGGAGGTAGAGACCTGACAGGGTGCCAGAAGGGGCCGCCGGACACGGTAAGACAGTGGAGAAGTGGGCAAGGACAGGACCCCCACAGGGGTTTGCCAGGGAGACCGCAACTGGCTGACTAAGCGGCGTGAGTGTGGTGCGGTCTCGAAAGAAGGAGCGGGAAGCACCCGAGTCAAGGGTGAACGTGTGGGAGGCCTGAGCCGACGTGGTACCTGAGAGAGCAGACTCACCAACACCTGGGGCAGCAGACTCACTAGCACCTAGAGCAGCAGCCTCACCAGCACCTAGAGTAGCAGTACCAATGCCCGGGTCAGGCGGAACACACAGGTAACAGTCACCCTCATCACTAGTAGACACAGCATACATGGCAGCAAGAATAGCATCATAATCAAGATCAAAGATAGCAACCCCCGACCTCTGCAGCTCTCCCCAGCGAGGGATCTCACTTGCGTCAGGGAACTGAAGACGCCAGGCGTCCGTCAGGCGGCCGAAGCAGCGTTGGGTGGGGTGCGGGCCCTCGCACTGCTCACCCGTACGGTCGCCGTTACACATGACGTAGGTACAGGGACCAGCACCCCCACCCCGCTGACGCGAAGCGTACCACTCACGAAGCTGCTGGGGGGACGGGGTCTCACGAGTGCGCTGCTGCTGCTGGCGCTGACCACCACCGGAGCCACCCCTCTGCGCAGAACCACCCCGACCAGTCCCACCGCTGCCGCCGCCACCTCCGCCGCCGCCGCCACCTCCGCCTCCTCCGCTCCCACCACCACCGCCGCCGCCTCCTCCGCCTCCACTGCCGCCACCGACGCCCCCACCCCCGCCACCACTCCCACCACCACCCCCACCCCCTCCACCGCCTCCACCGCCACCTCCACCGCCCCTGCCAGCTCCTCCAGCACCCTTGCCCCCCTTGCCCTTGCCGGTGCGGCGTCTCCCGCTAGGGGCAGACGCAACTCCGACCGACTCGAGGCCAACGAGGTCGGCCGCAGCAGCAGAGGCAACTGAGGGCAGGAGGGGGGAGGGGGAACACCCCTCAAAGATGGGAGTACGAGGGTCACCACGAGAGGCTCCTACAGCGACTATGCTCTTCTCAGCTGCCAGGAGGCGCTCCTCGAGGAGGTCAACGGTGAGTGTGATGGGGCAAACAGAGAGGAAGTGGTCCGTGACCGAGCGAAGGGAGTCAAGGAGCCGAGTGACTATGTAGTAGAGGGTGATGTACAAGGGGGGGGGGGGGATTCTTGGCGCAAAACTCAGCAGGGAGCGCAGCGCGGTAGCGAGTGTCAGTAGTGCGAAGGTGCGTAACTAGGTCAACGACTGTGGAAAAGGCGGCGAGGTCAGGGAACAGGTAGGGCAGCATGAGGCGACTAAGAGCAGAAGTGGCAGGGGAAGAGTAGCGTGCAACTACAACGTCGTACAGGGACTTAGCGCTCTTATACTGACCAAAGTGTGCGCGCTCAGAGGACGGCAAGTGACTACGAATAGCAAGACGGGCAGCAGCATCACGTGTGGCCCACTGTGAGCGAACTGTGCTGTCAACATCGGCAGGAGGGGCAAGAGAGGCGCCAGACGAGAGATCGAACAGGGAGAGACCATCTGTCCTATCGCACTGTAGGAGAAGCTGTAGGTCATCGACCCAGACCTCAAAGTCGACAGCCCGACCCTCAGCATCAAAAGTGAGAACATTAGGAGCAGCCATGGCAGCAGTGGCAGCAGCAAGCTAGCAGTAAGAGCAGGGCGGTGGCAGAGGCGCTGCTCAGGAGTGCTCTTACCAAGGCGGGTAGGTAGAGGCCCGCAGGTGGTGAGGCAGGGCCGAGGCGCGCCGGCAGAGACAGGGCCGCAACAGTGGCGGCGGCGGCAGCGACAGCGGCTGTGGCGGCGGTTGCGGCTCGACAGTTGCGGCGGCTGCTGCTGTAGTCAATGGCCGCGGCGACCGGGGCCTCGGCTGTGGCTGCTGCGGCGGCTGCTGTCTCGGCTGCGGCGGCGGCGGCTGCGGCTTCGGGAGCGGCAGCGGCGGCGGCAACGGCGGCGGCGGTCGGCAGCAAAGGCGGCTGCAGTCGGCAGCGGCTGTGGCTGCAGCGGTAGAGGTGGCCGCTGCTGCTGCTGGGACCGGGGAGGGGCCGCGTAGGGCGGCGACGGGGCCACGAAGGGGTCACGAGGGGCCGAGAAGAGCAGGGACGGGTCCGCAACGGGCGGCGACGGGGCCGAGAAGGGCGGCGACGGAGCCGCGAAGGGCGGAGACGGGGCCACAACGGGCGGCGACGGGGCCGCGAGGGGCGGTGACGGAGCCGCTGGGGGCGGCGACGGGGCCGCGAAGGGTGGCGACGGGGCCGTAACGGGCGGCGACGGGGCCGCGAGGGGCGGAAACGGAGCCGCGAGGGTCGGCGTTGGGGCCGCTAGGGGCGGCGACGGGGCCGCGAAGGGTGGCGACGGGGCCGCTAGGGGTGGCGACGGGGCCGCGAGGGGCGGCGACGGGCCGCGAAGGGCGGCGACGGGGCCGCTAGGGGTGGCGCGAGGGGCCGTGAGAGGGGCCTCTAGGAGGGTGCGACGGGCCGCGAAGGGCAGGGGACGCGACGAGAGGGCGGCCTACGGGGCGCGTCTCGGGCAGGGGCGACTCGCGCTCCGGTCAGAAAAAAAAAATCGATTTTCGGTGGTGGGCCCTAGGAAGCGTTCCCACTAGGGAACCTGCTCTGATACCATGTGAAGAAATGAGGAATGATTGACTAAGGGAAAAGGTTGGGTACAAGTACAAACCTAGAAATGTGTTGTACCCCGTATGTGCTACCCCACTATAGTCTACACAGGCTAAGTCATACAAGACTTACACAGACATGCATTGCTAATGCAATGAATGAATGAGTATAGATGAAGATACACACACACACACACACACACACACACACACACACACACACACACACACAAAGAGAAACCCCAACTCACACCAGAACAAAGTCAAAACAATAACAAGAGAAGGTGAAAAACAAGATACAACAAGCATAATAATAAAGAATTATGCGAATCACCACTACTCTTCCCACTTTGCAGACTGAACTTGGCTTCCTGAAAGGTGCAATATGATTTTCGATGTAGAGGAAATGGGAAAGCAAAACAAGGGAGGACAGGAGAGAAATGACATTGAAAGTGAAAAAGGAGCAGAAGAGAATGCAGCGCATCACCGACGCAAGAACAAACCGCCAAACCGAAATGCAAATACAACACAAAATAACAGAAATCGAAGCAAAACGGAAGGAAAAACACGAGTTAACAGAAACAACAAAAAAGAACCTACAAACCAAGTACTGATCTGCTCCAGCCTATAAGGCAGATTAGTACTTGACACGAGAAATTAAGTTTAGTCAAGGAGGGAGGGAGGGATGGAGTGAAGGAGGGAGGGATCAAGAAAGGGAAGCAACTATTTTCTTTCTCTTAACAATCAACTATGCCATGCTCCCGCTCCTTCTCCCTATCTCCGTTTCTCTCTTTCGTTCATGTCTTTTTATTTTTAAGAAAAAACGGAAGATAGGGTAAGGAAACAAAGATTGACACTATAGAATAGATGGAACAGTAAAGAAAGGAAAACATTGAGGTAAACCAAACACTAGCTATGAGGCAGAAAAGCTGAAAAAAATGCACCACGGGCGGCTTTACATCTCTGAATGACGACGCTGTTGCACTCTACGGCCACGGTAACAAGCACCGGCAATCGGAAACGCAAAAGAGAAGGAGAAAAGTAGATAAGGAAATAGATAGCCAAAGGAATCGGGGTGAGAAGGTAGAGAATAAAATACGCGTGAAGACTAACGAAAACTATGAACGGGGGAGAAATACATGAGGAGAACAGACTACTAGTCAAGGAGGCGGAAAGAAACGTGCTTTGGAAAAACGACCAGAAAAACGACCATGACTGGAAAACGAAACCAACCGAAACCATGTGGAGTCGACTATATACTTCCTCAAGCTAACTAAAATGCAATCTAGGAAATAATCGGACATACCTGTGTGATCCAGAGAGAAACTACGCAAGAACATAGCCTCTGATTGGAAGAGGAAGCGAGCGAGAGGAAGCAGCAAGAAGAAAGGAAGAAATGAAACCCTAACAAATGCAAACTTTGTCGCAAAACTAACTGTGTGACATGTGACACGCAAGATAATAAGCAGGGCAGGTAGCGTAGTCGATTGGGTTTGAATGCGTATCTGAATGTTCATAGGTTCGAGATATAGGCATCATTTCAACTGCAGAGGATTACTTGCGCATCAGAGGTTCTTTTCTACAACTCTTATTTTAAAAAGCTTCGCAACCCTATGACGACTGTCAAAACATATTGTTCTGTTCATCTTACTCTAGGTTGTGTAGGGGTCACACCTTAGAGGGTACAACCCAACTCTCTCGACATCCTTGTACCCCCTCCCTCTTACCCAATCAACCATCCTTCCTAGTATTCTAACATGGTTTTAAGAGCTAGGACGTTCCTAGCCTAGGACCGTAATTAAGGGCCCAGCACATTCGTTTTCACCTGCCCGACCGTTAGTTTCTGCCCTGCCCAGCGTTTCGCACTGCCCTGCCCCTTTCTGCCGTACGCAGCCCGTACAATCCACGTAGGCCCAAGCACAGCCCGTACAGCCCACGGCAGGCCGTCGCGCAGCCCATACAGTCCGCGAAGGCCCGTCACGAAGCCCGTACAGCCCGCGTAGGCCCGTTGCGAAGCCCGTACAGCCTGCGCCAAGCCGTCGCGCAGCCCGTACAGCCCACGTCAGGCCCGCACGCAGCCCGTACAGCCCGCGCCAGGCCCGCGCGCAGCCCTTACTACACCTCGCGCCAGGCCTGCACGCAGCTCGTACAGCCCGCGCCAGGCCCGCACGCAGCCCTTACAGCCCATGCATGGCCCGCACGCGGCCCGTGTTACTGCTGCAATCGCTGCTGCTGCGCCTGAACTGCTGCTCTAGTACTTCTGCCGCCTGCACTGCCCTGCTACTACTGCTGCTACTTGCTGCAGCTGCTCCTCCTTGCTGCTGCTACTGCTACTTGCTGCAGCTGCTCCTCCTTGCTGCTGCTGCTGCTGCTGCTACTTGCTGCAGCTGCTCCTCCTTGCTGCTGCTACTGCTGCTACTTGCTGCAGTTGCTCCTCCTTGCTGCTGCTACTCCTCCCTGCTGTTGCTGCTGCTGCTGCTTGCCGCTGCTGCTCTGCCACCTGTCCGAGCCGCGCCGCCCAACCCAAGCTGTCACTGCTGCTACTGCTGCAACTACTGCTGCTACTGCTGCAACTACTGCTGCTACTGCTGCAACTACTGCTGCTACTGCTGCAACTACTGCTGCTACAGCTAGTGCTACTGCTGCTGCTGTTGCTGCTAATACTGCACTTGCTACAGTTGCTACTGCTGCCACTGCTACTGCTGCTATGGCTAACCTGTCAGTTCTTACGTTCGACGCTGAGGGCCGCGCGATTACCTTTGATGTCTGGCTCGACGATCTCCAGCTGTTCCTGCAGAGCGAGTCTAAGGATGACGTTTCCCTGTTTTTATACACTGAGGGAAAGCTCCAAGCCCCTACTGCCGACGCTGTAGAGGATCTGTCTAAGTGGCTCATGCGTGATGCAGCTGCCCGCCTTGCTGTCCACAACCACCTGCCCATCACCTCCTCCCATGCTTTCTGCTGCTTGGGCTGTGCGACTGGCCTCCTGAGCAAGTGTCGCAGTTTTTTCTGTACCGTAGGTTTCCCTTCATCGCACACAAAGGACGCCCACAGCCGAGCCACCAGGTACCCCGCCTGCCCCAATACACACCCTCTCCGAACCACCATCGGCGTTAGAAGCCCCAGCGATGCCGGCTATTGGACCTCCTCCCCCGACTGCCGAGTAGTCCTCTCACTATCAACATTTACCTTCTCACACCTCAGCTCCTCGTTATTCCTCAGCGCCATCTGCAGATAGTTCTGCCTCCCCGCAACCGCCTGCCCCACCCTGACCAGAGTAGTGGCCTCCGAGATATCCGCCGCCGTCACCTTCGTTAATAGCTTCGCTTTCCAGCCTTTCAGTACCGCCTCCCAAGCCAGGAGCGCCCACCTTGCAGTAGACGATCACCCCGTCTACTTAGTCAGCATCCACGTATCTTTCACTTTCCAGCTTCCGCCATACTCTTGCTGAATCATATCCCCCAACGTCATCCCTCTTAGGCATTCTGACCCTTTTTGCCTGTCGAAAGGGCTGCTTCCTCGGTAGTAACTACTGAACCACTTGTGTTCTTTCTCCATCTCCCACCTGTTTGCCGGCTCCGGCAGTTGCTTATCCCACATGAACGGCACCAGTGACCTCCAACGCGCGCTCCCATACGTCCACTTTGCAAGAATCTGTCAAAACATTATATGCTTTCTATCTTTCTAGGCTATGTAGGGGTTATCCTTACAGGGCACGCCACGTTTCTCAACACTCTTGTACCCCCCCCCCCCCCCCCCTTACCTAATCGACACTTCTTCTCTCTACTCTAATCACATATGGCTACTAGTTTAGGCTAGATTCTAACAGAATCGCCTTGTGCGTCTGCAACGTTGCCCACCCCAAGGGCATGTTCGCTGCTTCCTCACGCAGCCACTGCTTCATCGGGTTCCCTTCCAGCAACCGAGCCCAGGTTCCATAGCGTCTGGCTGTTAAATCTCTCTGTCGGGTAAATAACTCCTAGCCCCCCGTCTTTCCTTCCCAGGTGGGCCAGTTCCTTGCTCCAGAGAATGAAATGCCTCTCCATGTCTGCATACCCCTTCGACGTGAATTGTGAAACAGCTTCAGAATCTTCTGCCAGATCTGCTTTGGCGGCAGGTACACCTGCGCTTGGAACAGCACCACTAGCTACTTCTGTATGTATTGGAGTATCTACGGATTCTAATGCCGTCGAAAGGCGAATCTTGCCTTACCGAGTTATACAATCTCCTTAGGCTGGGCGGCAGGAAAAGGTTGGCTGCCTGGGACCACTTTGGCTGGTAGTTATGTTCGTAAGAGCCTTGCCGAGCCTTGGTTTGGGCGTCCTTGTTGCAGCAGAACAGATCACCAGGGACGTTCATCAGTTGGTTCGGTTTCAGTTTGGTCATCTGGTTCGGAGCCGCAAGACGACTCAAAATCCCGATGTTCCAAACCTGCCCATTTTCCCGAGCTACAAAACTACACAACCGTACCTGCTTAGACCTTCAACGCCCGAGTCGCCTTCCAAGACATTAGTTATGACTAGCAACTGATTTGAGCAGGCCATGATGTTTCCGCACAACAATCTTTAGGACCACCACCACAACTCGCTAACACTGTAGCCTGCGTACGTACGCGAGTTGCCAGTCGCACAGGCCGCCTGAGGTGCCTAACGCTGCCGAGTGTGGTTGTAAGTTTCCGTTGGCTGATCTCATGGCTCCTCAGGCCGGGTCGCGCGGCGTGTGTTGCTTTGCGGGAGGGCCAGACACGAGACGAATAACGAAAGATTCTGATGTGGATTAGACGATCAACGTCGTCGTGTTCGGACTGCATGCGGGTTTGCCGAGGGACCAAGGCCAGCAGTGCTGCTCGCAGCGTGGTTCACCACTCACTGGGGGATGAATCTGTCGTTTGGTTGTCATTCAACGCGACGCTGCGACTATGTTTCATTCTCAGAAGCCTCTGAGAATGAGAAGAAGCCTAGCGCGAATCCTCCATGGTCCATCACATTTGAGCTCGCCTGCTCCTGTGACGCCTTACTATTTTCAACCGCATAATCATCGCATCACTCGAGTTATTCACTACGACAGACCTCCGAGGTCGCCTCACTGGAACTGATAGTAGTGGTACTAGCTACACCATCTGGTGCGAACTCGGACCGTCGGATCGTCCACCAGCCTTCTCCCGCTAATCAACGCCGGCCACGTGTCTTCCATCTGGCACGACATCCTCCTCATTCCGCCTCCCGCTTCTCCCCCCAACGGCTCCTACTCCCCGCCGCGCCACCCCAGCGTTTCCCCCTTCAACACCTCCGCTTTCTCCTTCGTCTGCCGCTCCGCCAAATCCCCTTCCGTCGATTGCGGCGGGAGCCGAAAGCTTCGGCGCCGCGATGACCCTCTTTTCCTGTTGGAGAAGCGGATGGTCGTGATGGCCCTAGACGGCAGTCTTACCAAACTGCAGCCGTCGCCGTCCGAGTCGCCGGAAACTTCGTCGCCGTCGTCGGCGCTCCTACAAGCTTCGCCGTGGAATCTGGGTATCCTGCCGCAGACGTGCGTGCTCGCGTCGCGATGCATGTCGATGTTCTCCTGCTGCGATGCGAAAGGCGATTCTGGCGGTTCGGACGTCCGCCAGGGCGAGTCGCGGGATAATGAACTCACAGAGTCGCTCATAACGGCGTGCGACAACGCGCCGCTGGAGGCGCTGGAGATCGGGTCGCAAGCGCACGATCCTGGCGACGTGTACGACGTTTTTCCGCTGCTGGCGATGCCCCTGCGACTGCGGGGATCTGGGCGAAACAGCATGCCGATTTCGTGGAGGATCGTAACCATCGCAGCGGACGACGAGCTGGTGACGAGCGGGCAGCTGAAACATTCCATGCGCGATTTGTTGGATCGCGTTCGCGAGTGGGCGAAAAAGTCGGAGTCCTTTCGCGAAATAGCGGGACCAGGTACTATCATGCCGCCAATCTGGTTCCTTTCAACCATCCCCTCTCCAAGCTATCCTCTTTCACCCTTCTCCCTTCGCGTGCCAGTCCTGCTGCTCTCCTACTCCCCTAGTACCCTCCCCCGTCACTCACCTCCCTTGCCCGTTGAATATCTCCTCGCTCCTGCATTCCGCCCTTTGCTTCTCTTTCTCGCTCATAGATCCTTCCGTACTCTCCTTGCTCCATCCTTGCCATCCATAAATAAGTCTCGTTCCTATGTGCGATCTTGTCTACTTGATGATTGGAGAAGACACAAGAAGACGTGGGCGCAAAGTGAAAACCCTTGCAACAAGTACAAAATGTCAAACCCCTCCACCTTCCCTTCCCCCCTTCCCCTCCCCCTTCCCCTTCGCTCGCCTCGCATCGACTCTCCTTCCCCCTCCGCCTTCCCTCCCTTTCCCCCACCACTTTCTCCCCCACTCCGCTCTCTCCCCGTCTCCTCGCCCTCTCGCCTCTCTCCCTCGTCCCGCAGGTCGCTCCCCCAATCTCTTCTTTGACGCCTCCCCATCGGCCTCACCCGCAGAAGCAGCAAACAGAGAGGCGTGCAGAAGTCAATCCGGACTTCAGTACTCCACAACTCAGAGCGAGGAGAGAGGGGCGTGTGGCGGCGGAAGCGGAGGAGCATCGCTGAGAAGGATCTCAAGAATCAACGGTCGACATTCAAAGTCTGAACGCGAGAAGAGAGGAGTGGAGGAACCGGAGGAGAAATGGGGAAAGTCGGCAAGGGAAGCAGATGAAAGGGAGCAAGTGGAGAAAGCAGCAAGTCAAGCCCGGGAGGCAGAGGAAGGGGAGGAAGTAGCAGAGCAGAGGGAGCAAGTGCGGGAAGCGGTGCAAGCAGTGCTGCATGCACACAGCACGTGGCGAATCTTCTGCCCCACTCTGCACCGACCTGCTCTCAAGCGCCTGGAGAATCATCACCGTGGCCGCTCGCACCTGCCCGAAAAAGGCCATGGCAGCTCTCACCTGCCCGAGAACCACCATGGCGGCTCGCACCTGCCTGGGAACCAGCAGCAGCAGCTACAGCAGCAGGAGCGACAGAATAAGCTTGTGCGCAGCCCTGTATTGTCATGCCACTCTTCTTCCAGTGCTCTGCCGGCTCTCTCTTGGTCCTTCTCGTCCTCTCCTTCTTCTCCCTCTTCCTCTCCCTCGTCTTCTCCCTCACATTCGGCCTCGTATAAGGCAGCTTCGTTGCCGTCTAAGGCTGCATGCTCCAGCCGGGCGGCGTATCTAACCCGCCAAAGCAGATCTGATACGGACATCAGTGCCATGGGCGTGTGGAGGCTGATTGCTCCTCAAGAGAGCTATTGGCTTCCGGGGCTGGTCTCTGCTGGTAGGCTGAGAGGGAATGAAGAAGGAAGAGGAGGAGGAAAACGAGAAGAAGGGGGACAAGAAGAGGGAGGAGGCGGAGTGAAGGACGGTGTTGTAAGGAGAGTAGCAAGCAAGCACAGGCACAGGCATAGCCTCGACTTTACTTTGATGATTAAGAACAAAGACTGGCATCACAGCTCTGAGACTGCTGGTCGGCTTGCGGGGTCTGCTGCCAAGGTTGCAGCAGCAGCAGCAGCAGCGGCGGAAGCTGTCTAGTCGCAAGTTACGGGGGTTGCGGCTACAGCTGCTGTTGTTGCTGCAAACAAGCATGCTGTGGCAGAATCTGTGGCAAGAAGTGTAGCACGGCCTTTTACACGCCCAGCTCATTCCCCTCTTCTCAGCCCCTCCCACTCTCCTTCTGGGTTGACTCTAAAGTTACACCTGCCTCCTCGATCCCCTCCTCTCACTCCCTCATCTCGATCCCCTCCTCTCACTCCCTCATCTCGATCCCCTCCTCTCACTCCCTCATCTCGATCCCCTCATCCCACTTTCTCAACTCAATCCCCTCCCTTCACTCCATCTCAATCCCCTCCTCTCCCTCCCTCATCTCAATCCCCTCTCACTCCCTTGCCCCTATCCCCTCCTCTCACTCCTTCATCCCAATCCCCTCCTCTCACTCTCTCTCACTCCACCACCGCGCCTCCATCCCCCTCTACTCACCGTTCCAGCGTACAATCAGGTGGTAGTGCCTCCTCCACCGCTTCCTCTCCAACATTCAACCCCATTTTTGCTCGCCCCTCCACCTTCAAGTCAGCCAGCACCACCGCGGTTTCTCCAAGATTTGCCTCCCCGTGTGCGCGCCGGTCCATCTTGAAATCTGCCAGCACCACCGCAGCATGGCCAACACCCAGCAAGCGCGTGTCTTGGAACGTTGACCCAAACACCTCACCTGCCGCTGCCAGTCATACATCTGGGGGGACACCTACACTACCAAAAGGGGGCGGTTACGAGCCCATGGTGAGGCGGGCAGGGAGTGTTTTTGATAGGATCGCTGGTGAAGCTGCTGAGTCTAGTCAGGGAGCAACGGCCCCAGCAGATGCGGCTCCTGCTGCTGCTGCCCGTGCTGCAACGGCTGCTGGTGCTGCGATGACTGCTGCAGCATTATCATTGTCTTTCAGGCCTTCCAGGAATTCTCCTTCCCGGCTTCCTGTAAAGAGCGCGAGCTCCGACCAGATCCGCACCCGTGTTGAGACAGCTCAACTTTCGAGTGGGTCGGAAGCTTCTGGAAGGGGGGAACTGCAAGGGAGAAGAGGAGGGAGAAAGACACGTCCTCTATTTGTGGTGACGCCTAGGCGCAGCGTGCACAAGCGGACCTTCAGTGAGGGCGAATCGTTTGGATCACCTATTCTTTCCGCAACACCATCTGCATGATGTCATGGGCGGTCGCATGCTCGTCTTCTTTCTTTCTTCCATTCTTTTGTGTTTTGTGAGTAATGTGTGAAAAGGACTGTATGTGAAAACAGTTAAAGGTGTTAACAGCGTTTTGGAGTCCTAGCGATTGGGTTGAGAGCTTAACCGCACAAGGTACATACGTTCTGAATCCTCCTAATTGTTGCCATGCCAACTGAACTGCGTCCTGTTAGCAAGTAAAGTTGTGTGCGTAATGTTCTAGGAATTCTGGTGATGAGGGTTGTTGGGACCCAGGAGGGAGGGGTGGTTGAACATCAGTAGTGAAACTACTACCGTATGTGAACCCAGTACCGGTACTTATTCAACCACCACCGCCACCATGTGAAACCATTTTGTACGCGGCACAATAGTCAATAAAACATACCCCTCACGCACGTCCCCATCTTCTAAACGAATCAGGCTACTATTGAGCCTCCAGTGTGTGAGAGTATTCCCCACCACAGGCACCTGTAAAAACCCCACATCCCGGCCATTCACCTTTACATCTGCACCGTCCATCTTGTGCTCCTGCTTCTGCCAGTCCAGCATCTTGTACACCACGCCTATGCCCCGTGCAGCCCCCCGCACATCCACAGCCACACGCAGAGGAGCGCGGGCAGCCTGGGCCTTCCAGCACAGGATCTGCGGCACCAGCGGTCCACACGCCTCCTGCACCCATGTCGCATTCGCCTCCGCAATCCTCTTTACACTCGCCGCATCCCCTTTAGAAGCAGCCTCTCTAACAGCCGTGTACCCCTCGGGGAACTCTACTGCGCCCACGGCCGTGACGTTCCAGGTGTTGCCCAGCACACAGCGTGGGTGCGGGTCGGCCGCGCTCTGCAACGGCGGCAGCATGCAGGGCGCCGAGAGTGGCGGGCCGAGGGCCGAGAAGCCCAGGTCACCGAAGCACTTGCGGCACAGGGAGGTGGGCGGGCAGAGGAGCGCGGACTGGGTGGAGGGGGCCGCCTTGCCATCCACCCAGTCGAGGCGCAGGTGGTGGCGGGAGACAGCGAGGCCCTCACGACGCAGGTAGTGCAGGGCGAGGGAGAAGATGCGGTGGGCTGCCAGGCTGCCTGCCATGCCGTGGCCGGCAGCCGAGGGATGCACGCGGTCCACAAACATGTGCGCCCACGTCAGGTTCTCCGCAGGCTCAGATGACGGCGGGGACAGCACGCGAGGCTTGGCGGCAGGCTCGGAAGAAGGTTCGTCCGAGGCGGGGCAGGTTGGGGACGCTGCGGTGGCAAGGAGGGGGAAGTAGGCTCGCCAGGGGCTGACAGCGGGGACGCTGTAGTAGGCTGAGAGGTGGTTGAGCAGCGCCTCGGCGGAGTGGTGGAAGGCGGAGAGCAGCGGGTGGTGTGGATGGAAGACCCCGAAGTTGAGGAAGAGCACCAGCGGGTGCGATGGCAGCCGTAGCACCTGACGCACCAGACCCTCCGCTGCTGCGTACTGTGTGCCCTCTGGTGGGGGGAAGGGAGAGGGGGACAGAGGGGAGATGGAGAAAAGAGATTAGTAGGAGTGTGGTGAATGCAAGGGGGTGAAAGAGTATGTTGAATGGTGGGAAGGAAGTAAACACAGAATACAAGAAAGCAACGTGAGGGTGAGGTAAGGAGGCAGCCAACTTGAAATAGGGCACTCAGGTGAAAACGTTTCACTCACCTGAGTGCCCCTCACTATTGTATGCATCACCGACCTTTTCTTGAAGGAATGGAATGGCATGGAAGGAAAGTGTGCGGGGGGTGTATAGAGCGCCACCCAGCCCATGCAGTTTGCTCCACAAAAATCATGCCAACCATGCCATCCCACCATGCCATCCCACCATGCCATCCCACCATGCCATCCCACCATGCCAATCGACCATGCCACCCCACCATGCCATCCCACCATGCCATCCCACCATGCCACCCCACCATGCCATCCCACCATGCCATCCCACCATGCCATCCCACCATGCCATCCCACCATGCCATCCCACCATGCCATCCCACCATGCCACCCCACCATGCCATCCCACCATGCCATCCCACCATGCCATCCCACCATGCCACCCCACCATGCCATCCCACCATGCCATCCCACCATGCTATCCCACCATGCCATTCCACCATGCCATTCCACCCAGGGCTCTCGGTATCAGGGTAAACATCCTGAAACTCAGGTACATTCCGTATGTTTTGTTGGTGAACCCTGATTCATCTGGATTGGTCTAGAAATCATCCGGACCATTTCCGGATGATGTGGCCGAGCATTCTGGAACTTCAGTATTGTTTCGAAAGCAATCCTGAGAATTTAGCTCGGTACTAGTTAAGACATGATGCAAGTGTTAGGTCTGTTAGTCCTTGCCCAACCAACTTGGACGTTTCAGAGCCTCTTGTGCCTACGGTGATGAACTGCAGTTGTGCATTTTCGGATTTTGGAGAAAACACACGGACGCGGAAGGGAAACGTTCGAGGGAACGCAGATTATTCAGGGTCTTTTCTCAGATTATTCAGGGTCTTTTCTCAGATTATTCAGGGTCTTTTCTCAGATTATTCAGGGTCTTTTCTCGGATTATTCAGGGTCTTTTCTCAGATTATTCAGGGTCTTTTCTCAGATTATTCAGGGTCTTTTCTCAGATTATTCAGGGTCTTTTCTCAGATTATTCAGGGTCTTTTCTCAGATTATTCAGGGTCTTTTCTCAGGACAACCCCGAGCCTTCCGTGCCTTCAAAAACGAGAGTGCTGCCCTGATTCCGCCTCAACATCCCACCACGGTGCCTTCCGCCGCGGCATTTGCCCCGCCATTCGGCCTACCTGGGGGCGGGGTCATGCCGGGCTGCAGCACGGACCAGTCATTGGCGGCGCACTCCAGCAGCACTATGTCCGCCTCCCCCGCTGCGCGCCGCTGCTCGTCCCCGTCCGCCCACAGCGCCCCCACCAGCTCCCCCGTGCAGAAGTGCAGCACGAATGACCCCGCCCCGGGCAGGAAGGCCCGGATGAGACGGTGCGGAGGGGTTGAGGGCGGTGTCGGGAACACCTGTGAAAGATGGGGAGAGATGGGATGGGACCAGTTCAGGCACCGACGAATGAAGAAACGAGAGCAAGGTCAAACAAAGAGGTCTGGTTCGGGCACCGACAAACCGGATTGGATCGTCAAGGGCCAAACCAGGCATCGCATTTTGCTGATGCTTGCCTTGTGGGCAGTGGATCCTTTTCATCTCGTTTGTAACCATGCAAGGCAACCCTTGATGGCTCACTGGTGAACTCATACCATTTCATTGTACCCCGACAGTGCTGGGCAACAAGACATCAACAAACAAAAACTACTTTTACAAAACATATCTTCCTAATCAACAGCATGAAAGGGTTTGGCTAGTTCTTCAGGAGAGGCTCCTTTAGTTAAACCCTTTTTTTTATATTCAGCATGCCAACACAGTGTAAGAGTATAGATTGCCTGCTAGGTTGAAGCATAAAAGTGTAGATTTGTGTGTTGGGTTGGCAATTGAACCCAAATGTGATCCGAGACCCCTAACACAGCGATTGGACCTTACGGGTGACAAGCTCAACCAAACGACTTGTGGTCAAAGCAGCCCCTTGTTTTCTAGAGTTCAGCTTCTTTTCACCATGCATGCGCTCGTGCTTTCTTGCGCTGCTAGAAACCTCTCATCTCTGTCACCCTCCAGTTTCGATTCCTCCTCGCTCAGCACAATCGTCTTCCTCTCTCCTAGAACCCTCTCCTCACATACTCCAGACTCTCCCCTACCCTCCCCCATCCCCCTCCTCTTTCGCCCATCCCACAACAACCACGCACCTGCTGCAGCCAGTCCACAAGCGCACCTGCTGCAGCCAGTCCACAAGCGCACCTGCTGCAGCCAGTCCACAAGCGCACCTGCTGCAGCCAGTCCACAAGCGCACCTGCTGCAGCCAGTCCACAAGCGCCTGGCCATATGTTCCCGTGCCGTGCATAACGCCGCCTCGCAGGTGGCCCGCGGCCCTCCTCCTCTTGCCCATCCCACAACCACACACGCACCTGCTGCAGCCAATCAACGAGCGCCTGGCCATACGTGCCGGTGCCGTGCATGACGCCGCCCGGCAGGTGGCCCGCGGCGGAGATGGAGCCGCCCACCGCCACCACCGTGAGCGCCCGCCCCGCCAGCAGCTTCGCCAGCAGCACCAGGAAGCGGTGCAGCGGCGGGTCAAACGCGAAGCTCCTCTGCACCACGTCCACGCCGTAGCTGGGGGAGAGAAGGGGGGCCGGGGTGGTGGGGGCAACAGTGGCGCGGTGGGGACACAGGTGAGTGTCCTGCCCGCCAGCAGCTTCGCCAGCAGCACCAGGAAGCAGTGCGCTCCTCTTCTGCACCACTTCCACGCCACAGCTGGCAGCAGGGAAGAAGGGGGGTTGGGGTGGGGGCGACAGTGGGGAGGCGGGGATGGGGAGGAGAGGAAGATAGGCCGTGGTCAGCCTCCCTGCCACCACCACCACGAAGCCGTGTAGCGGCGGGCGGGTCGACGACGCGGGGATGGCGGGGGGAGGGGGGAGACGACGGGGGGGACGTGGGGAGGGGTCGGAGGTGGGGGCCTAGGTGAGCGCCTCCCTGGCAGCGGCAGCAGCAGAAAGTGATGCAGCGGGAGGGAGGCCCGAGGGTTTGGTTTACTGCACTCTGCTGCACCACGTCCACGCCGTAGCTGGTGGCAGGGGGTGGGTGGGGGCGACGGCGGGGAGGTGGGGAGGGGGAGGAGAGGAGGGTGACAAACTATGACGTAAGCAGCCGCCCTGGCAGCAGCAGCAGAAAGCGATGCAGTGGGAGGATTCTCAGGCGCCTCAAGAATCGTTTTTGACGAAATGCGGGGTGCAAGGCCGAGCAGCAGAGGGGCACAGCGGAACCAAATGGTAAAGGGTTGGAGGCGCTGGTGGGGGAGGAATCGAAGGGAAAAGAGAGCGGTGCGGTGCTGCACTCCTGCCCGTCGCTCCTCTGACTTTCCAACATCGCCGTCGTTCCATGCTTGCACTCTTTCCTGCGTCCACCCCCTCGCCTTACCTTGTTCTGCCATCCCATCCCTTCTCTCCCCCACTCGCCACTCTCACCGCCGCTCTCACCGCTCCGCTCACCGCTGCTCTCACCGCTGCTCTCACCGCTGCTCTCACCGCTGCTCTCACCGCTCCCTGCTCGCTGCTCACCGCTGCTCGATGTCCCACATGGCCTGCTGCAGTCGCCGCCCCACCTCCAGGCACTCCGCCGCCATCGTCGCTCCCGCCGCAGCCGTCCCCACGCCCCACCCGCCCTTCGATCCGCCCTCTGCGGGACCCCGCATCCTTCCGCTGCTCCCCCATCCGCGCACGTCCCTTCCAACTCCCCATCCTTGGAACAGCAGTGGCGGGGCTCTGAGTACCGGGGAGATTAGCAGCACAGCAATCAGCGCAATCTGCGGCCGCAAAATCCGGAGAGAATTCATCGCAAAAAAGGGGGATTGCGCTGTCGACACGGGTTCATGTCGTCAGCGACTTGGTCGGGGTGAACACATTCGCTAGTAGCTGCTCACGTATGGATAGTTTCGGCCACGGGCGAAAGTTGCTGCTGGTGTATCGTCTGGAAAGGTTGATTGTGATCGCACAGTGCTTGTGTGAGTGGTGGTTTTCTTCTGTTCTTACGATCCATTCTCGATAAGGGGAAAGCGGGAGCACAGCATGGTAAGTTTTAAAGTTCAATATTCTTAGAGAATACCAAAATGAGTATATATCTTACAGATGCGCGATCGATATTAAAGATGCAGACATGACCGCTTTGATCGTAACTATTGTTAGTTTACATAGAACCTAAGCTATTTTTCGAAATGTTAGAGAGAATAGCGTAGAGGACAAGGCCGAAACTCTAGTCTAGAGTTTAGCACGTGGACAAAAGGCATAATAATCCATAGCCCCCCTTTTTTGTGTGCCAGATTGATGAAGCCTAATAACATGTAGTGGGTACCAAGCGTAACGCCTGTGGGCATTCCGCTGCAGAATGTTTCAAGAGCAACACCCTCGTTTCGACCCAAAGGTTAGGGCGTGTGTCTTTTGGAGTGTATTCTAAAGTTCATGTTTTTTTTGCGACTTTATGCATTTTGCTACGATCAGAAGTAGATCGAACTCAGGATCACCTCGGGAAGGTGTCAGAATCTAGCAGCAGGAATAAGTGCATTGAACAGAGATGTGGGTGTCAGAACATTATAGCTTATGCTTTTGTGTAGGCTGCAGTGGGGTAACCCATATGGGGTACAACCCAATTAGGGTTAGTACTTGTACCCAACTCTTTCATACTGCATTCATTCTCGTTCTAGTTTTCTCATGGTATAGAGCAGGTTCCCTCGTGGGAACTGTTCCTAGGGCCCACCAATTCGATTTTTTTTTTTTTCATGCCCGGAGCGCGCTCAGTTCCTGCCCGAGTCGCGCTCCCCTCTCTCGACCCTCTCGCGCCGCCTTAGCGGCCCCGTCGCATCGCGCTAGAGGCACCGTCGCGTCGCCCTCGTGGCCCCATCCGTTGCGCCGCCCTAGCGGCTGCGTCCCGCCGCCCTAGCGGCCCCGATCCCCCGCCCTAGCGGCCGCGTCGCCTACTCCTGCGGCCCCGGCGCCGCCCTTCCCGGCCCCGATCTGCCGCCCTAGCGACCCCGTCGCCTACCCCGCGGCCCCGGCGCTGCCCTTCCCGGGCCCCGACGACGCCCTTCCCGGCCCAGCCCTGCCTCTGCTGGCCCCGTCGCCTAGCCCTGCGGCCCCGGCGCCGCCCTTCCCGGCCCCGACGCCGCCCTTCCCGGCCCGGATCCGCCGCTCTGCGGCCCCGTCGCCTACCCCGCGGCCCCGGCGCCGCCTTTTCTCGGCCCCGACGCCCCCTTCCCGACCCGGCCCAGCCTGTGCTGGCCCCGTCGCCTACCTTGCGGCCCCGGCGCCGCCCTTTCCCGGCCCCGACGCCGCCCTTCCCGACCCGGCCCCGCCTCTGCTGGCCCCGTCGCCTACCTCTACGGCCCCGACGCCGCCCTTCTCGGCCTCGGCACTGCCCTTCCCGGCCCCGGCTCAGCCTCTACTGGCCCTGTCGCCCACCCTTCCCGGCACCGGCCCCGCCTTCACGCGGACCCGCTGAGCTAGTGCCGAGCCGCCAGCGCCACCCGAGCCGCCCGAGCCGTCGCGCCACCTGAGCCGCCCGAGCCGCCGTACCGCCGAGCCGCCCGAGCCGCCCGAGCCGCCGAGTCGCCGGGCCGCAGTTGCCGCCGAGCCGCCCGAGCCGCCGAGCCGCCGAGCTGCAGTTCCTGCCGAGCCGTCGAGCCGCCCGAGCCGCCATGTCCGGTAAGAGCAGCGCCTCTATCACTGCACTGCCCTTACCCCACTGTTCGCGCTACTAGTCTACTTCTGTCATGGCTACCCCTAGTGTCCTCGCTTTTGACGCTGAGGGTCGGGCCATTGACTTTGACGTCTGGGTAGATGACCTACAGCTTTTCCTACAGTGCGATAGGGCAGACGGTCTCTCCCTCTTTGACCTCACCTCTGGTGCCTCTCCTGCCCCTGCTGCTGATGCTGACGCCACTGTTCGCTCACAGTGGGCCACACGCGATGCTGCTGCACGTCTTGCTGTGCGTCGCCACCTGCCTACCTCTGAGCGTGCGCACTTTAGCCAGTACAAGAGTGCTCAGACCCTGTACGACGCTGTAGTTGCACGCTACTCCTCCCCTGCCACTGCTGCACTGAGCCGCCTCATGCTACCATACCTCTTCCCTGACCTTGCTGCCTTTCCCACAGTCGCTGACCTCATTACGCACCTCCGCACTAGTGACACTCGCTACCGCGCTGCGCTTCCTGCTGAGTTTTGCGACAAGAACCCCCCCCCCCCATGTACATCACTCTCTACTACATCGTCACCCGCCTCCCTGACTCCCTTCGTGTAGTCAGGGACCACTTCCTCTCAGTTTGCCCCACCACTCTCACCGTTGACCTCCTCGAGAAGGCCCTCCTAGCAGCGGAGAAGAGCATAGTCGCTGTAGGAGCCTCTCGTGGTGACCCTCGCACCCCCATCTTTGAGGGGTGTTCCCCCTCCCCCCTTTCGCCCTCTGTTGCCTCTGCTGCTGCGGCCGGCCTCGTTGGGCTTGAGTCGGTCGGTGCGGCGTCTACCCCTAGCGGGAGACGCCGCACTGGCAAGGGCAAGGGGGGCAGGGGCGCTAGAGGAGCTAGCGGGGGCGGTGGAGGCGGCGGTGGAGGCGGCGGAGGGAGTGGGGGTGGCGGTGGGGGTGGTGGCGGGGGTGGAGGTGTCGGTGGCGGCAATGGAGGCGGAGGCGGCGGCGGTGGCGGTGGGAACGGAGGTGGCGGAAGTGGCGGCGGTGGAGGAGGCGGTGGCGGAGGAGGTGGAGCTGGTCGGGGTGGCGCTGCGCAGAGGGTCGGCTCCGGTGGTGGTCAGCGCCAGCAGCAGCAGCAGTAGCAGCGCACTCGTGACATCCCCCCCCCTCAGCAGCTCCGTGAGTGGTACGCTGCACGCCAGCGGGGTGGGGGTACTGGTCCGTGCACCTACGTCCTACGCACCGGCGACCGCGCGGGTGAGTAGTGTGGGGGTGCGCACTCCACCCAGCGCTGCTTTGGCCGCCTGACGGACGCTTGGCGTCACCAGTTCTCGGAGGCCACGGAGATCCCCCGCTGGGGTGAGCTGTCCAGGGCAGGAGTAGCTATCTTTGACCTTGACTTTGATGCTATTCTTGCTGCCATGTATGCTGTGACTATTAGTGATGAGGGTGACTGTTACCGGTGTTTCCCGCCCGACCCGGGCATTGAGACTGCTGCTCTAGGTACTGGTGAGGCTGCTGCTCTAGGTGCTAGCGAGGCTGCTGCTCTAGGTGCTAGTGCGTCTGCTTCCTCAGGTGCTGGTGAGTCCGCGCTCTCAAGTACCGAGTCGGCTTCGGCCTCCCTCACCTTCACCCTTGACTCTGGGGCTTCTCGCTCCTTCTTTCGAGACCGCACCACACTCACGCCGCTTGGTCGGCCAGTTGCAGTCTCTCTGGCAGACCCCTCTGAGGGTCCTGTCCTTGCTCACTTCTCCACTGTCCTCCCGTGTCCGGTGGCTCCCTCTGGCACCCTGTCTGGTCTTTTCCTCCCCTCGTTCTCTACGAACTTGGTGAGTGGTGCTGACCTACACGATGGGGGAGTTTACCAGTTAACTCCTGCGCGCCAGCGGGTGACCCACTGCACGGACGCTCGGACGGGCCGACACTTGGCCACGTTTACTCGTCGGCCGGGGTCGAGCCTGTAAACACTGACCACTGCGTCTCCTCCTGTCCCTGCGTCTGGTCAGGTAGCTGCGTCGGGTCAGGTGTTTGCTGCAGCGTCCAGGTCTCATCCTGAGTCTGCCCCCTGCTCGTGTCGCCTCCTGTCTCACGAGACTCTCCTCTGGCACCACCGCCTTGGTCACCCCTCCCTACTTCGTCTCCGAGGCATGGCCTCCCGTGTCCTTGTCTCTGGTCTTCCCCGGTCCCTCCCTCCCCTTCCTCCGGGGCCTGGCCCTACCTGCGTCCCCTGTGTCGAGGGACGGCAGCGGGCTGCCCCTCACTCCTCCCAGTTTCCTCCGACAGAGGCCCCACTGCAGACGCTTCACATCGACGTGTGGGGCCCCGCCCGCGTCCGTGGACTGGGTCACGAGCGCTACTTCCTGCTGGTGGTTGACGACTACTCGCGTTACACCACAGTCTTCCCCTTGCGCAGCAAGGGTGATGTCACTGAGGTGTTGATCGACTGGATCCGCGCAGCTCGTCTCCAGCTCAGGCAGAGCTTCGGCTCGGACTTTCCTGTTGTGCGTCTGCACTCTGACAGAGGCGGAGAGTTCTCCTCTGGCCTTCTGCGAGCCTATTGTCGTGCACGAGGCATCCGCCAGACCTTCACGCTTCCGGCCTCTCCACAACAAAATGGGATTGCTGAGCGCCGCATTGGCATGGTCATGGACGTCGCCCGTACGTCCATGATGCATGCGGCTGCCCCCCATTTTCTGTGGCCATTTGCGGTTCGCTACGCGGCGCATCAGATCAACCTTCACCCCATGGTCTCCATGCCGGAGACCTCCTCAGCCTTGCTGTGGACGGGGAACTTTGGCGATGCGTCTGCGTTCCGTGTCTGGGGATCTCGGGCGTTTGTCCGCGACTTGTCTGCGGACAAGCTGTCCCCTCGTGCTGCTCCTTGCGTCTTCCTTGGCTTCCCCCCTGACGCGCCAGGGTGGCAGTTCTACCACCCCACCTCTCGCCGTGTTCTGTCCTCCCAGGACGTCACGTTTGACGAGTCGGTCCCCTACTACCGCCTCTTCCCCTACCGCACTCCGTCCCTCCCCCCGCCGCCGCTCTTCCTCGTACCAGGTCCCCCCC